TATAGCCGAGACTAAAGTCCCGATCACAGCCCGAGACTCATAACGAAATACGCTTCCTCATCTCATCATGAATCTAGCTTTAGCCATAGAATGTTGCTTCTCCTACACGATAACAACAGTTCAATTTTAATTTTAGATAACCAAGCATAAAATTAAAATACCTCTCTCTGTATAAATATTTGGTATACCCAAAACTTAGATGTTTGCAATCAGGCGATCATTCTCGGAACTGATAAAATAGGGTTTATAGATTTGTGGACTAAAGAGATCAATTTAAATCATTTGACTGCTCATAATATTTATTTGAGAAATTAACTTAACAATTATAAACGCAAGAACATAAATTATTGGCCTTTTAGTGATATCACGCGCGTTGGATGATAACTCAGCTATGAAGACATGAGAACCTCCTTAACGTGCGGCAAAGCCACAATTTCATTTACAAAAAAGTATAAAAAAATAACTTTTCTGCACAATTCAAAATACTGGACAATACGTAACAGCGAAGAATAACAAAAGAATCCGGTATCGCAATCTCACTTCACCACGCAACCAGCATGCCACGACACAACGCGCACCACATCTGCCCTTTAATGGATATTTCTGCATACCAGTGTCCTGAATAACCTCACCCTGCGGAGTTGTGCCAAAAGAGGAAGCTGTGGTCGTCCATGCCCGATGACCGCTTAGCTCTCAGTCACGCGCTAAACACGCATTACCGAGTGCGCACGCGCGTGCGGTCTAGGCAACGCAAGTAGGCTTCGGCTCTGTGGCAGCAGTACGACCTTTTTTTTTTCCATGCGAGAAGGAGCGAAGACTTGATGTAACCTGATAAGCAACTTTTCATTAAAATATACCAGCCAAACGAAGCTGATACGGCCACAAGGCCCTCGTTGCTTGCTTCAATTTTGGGAGAAAACGCGTGTCTAAAAAATTAGTGAAATGACGTTGAATATATAGTACAGTAATCAATCTTTTTAACCACCAGAATGTGACAAGTAATTGACCTTCAACCATGCTCAATTCCCTGCACTGTCGGGATTCAGCTGATAGGCAGTGCAACAGCAACCCTGCATTATTCACGAGTATAGTGGCGACGCCAATGTCGTTGGTTAGTTGCTCATTGAGTTCTACAATTTCATCGAATTTGGTGATGTCCACCTGTTATAAGAGACATTATTGAATAAAATCAGATTTTAAATTTAGTGTTTTGAACCGAACTTCTAGTTCACTCACCTTATAAGCTTTTGCTTTGACGCCATACTTATTGGCGATTTCTTTAGCTGTCGTCACAGCCAAATCGAAATTAATATCACATATAGCGACATGACATCCCCTGGCGGCCAATTCTATAGCGATACATTTGCCCAGTCCACCTGCCGCACCGGTGACCTTGAATGGATTTAAAAGAGAGGATGATTGGTATGTGTATGCTAGAAAAAACAACCGCAGAATGCAACATTCCTGAAAAATTCGATGCATTCCGGATGCATTTCAAAAACCATTCAAAATCTTTGTAAAATTCGTCTTCAAACTTGAAACTTTCTATTTTTAGTTTAGACGGTTTGACGTCAGTAAGAGGTAGCGAAGGGGCGCGGTCGATTTTTTAAGGGTCAAAAACGGCTTATGTCGATCATGTTTTAGTTGTATGGAAAAGTTGTAGATAATGAAGTTGTAAATAATGAAAATATCTACAACTTTTGTATGAATACCTTTTTCGCATAACTTCATAATTTCTGTGCAAAATTCAAATTTCTAAGTTTTTGGTTTTTTAAATTTTTCTTGTGCAAAAAAAAAAATTTTTTTTGACGAAATTTGGTTTAAACTTGCCTACTTATGTCTCAAGTAAATTGTATTTTTTATATTTAATATATTAGAGAGGAAACTTTCTTTAGATTTTTAATCAGCTTTGAATCGTTTAGTGTTTTTTTTGCATTTGCGGAGAAAATTTACCACAGTAATGTGTATACTTTTGACAACATCAGAAAGTGGAGATTTAAACACACATAAGGCATACGAACTTTTTAAGAAAATCTGATATTTTGACGTGACTTGAATTCTTGACTGGTACTACAGTGTTGCATTTGTAGCCAATACAGGGCAATTGGAATAATTTCCAATTCATTCAACTACATCGCTATTATAGATTACATTAAAAATTGGTATAAAATATTTCAAATTAATGCGATAAAATTTTAAAATTTTACAAATTTTATCTATAGTAATAGAATTGCTGCCATATCCACCATATTCTCCAGATTTGGCTCAGTGTGATATTTTTTTTTTTTTTGTTCCCAAAGTTGTGAAATTTACGAGAAGGATAATTTAAGCGAAGCAGAAGTTTATTGCCGTCAGGGAGGCCTACTGCGTACCAGGTGTAACGAGCTAAATTTAGACAATGTTAAAAATAAATCGACAGAGGGGCAATATATATGTCATAAAAATTCCGACTTAATCTGTCACGAACTATATGATTACATGCAAACAACTTCTATTTGCTACTTACCAAGATGGAAAGATTTGCAGATTTATACGAATCTCTATGAAGCGAACTTATACCATTTGTAAATATTTTCATAGAGAGTATTTGATATTGCAGATTTTCTAGGTCTACGATGTCATTTCACGCATTGAAAAATCTCGCCTTATTGAGGAGGCAGCAATTAGTCCGGACCTTAATCCAATCGGGGAACTTTGCGGCATACAATTGGAAGAGGAGAGCAGTGTAAAAAATGTACTCAATTCCATGCTTTACAATTACAATTGCTCGTAAAAAAAGAGATTATATATCTTACAAATCTAATCCTTACAGGAACTTCGAATATAAATCATACTTATTAAATAATTTTTCGCCCTACCTTGCTTTACAGAGCTATCAACTTTGTATAGTTTTACAATAATTATAATGAGTTATAATAAATATTCATATTCTGTAATTATTTTGTTTATTGCTTTCAACATCGAAATCGAACAAGTCAAGTTCGGAAACATAATACCGAACAGGATGTACAAAAATATCACTGAGGTAATTAATCGTCTGCCGCATAATATTTATGTGCATATAAGCATTTAAATTAATGATTAAAAATGGTAATAATTTTTGAACACAACAACAGTTACTTGCTGACAACAGCTTGCATTTAGTGGCTCAGTACTATTTCAGCGGTAGCGCAGAACGCAACGGTTTTCTTCTTTATTTACTGCACAATATTTATTTGATAACAAATATTTAACGAAATACTTGCATTACGAATGGCGACTGATGCATTCAAAAATTACGCGCCTGGTCAGTGGTCGCCCTCTTAACGCTATTTATGCCGACCATTCTGTTAATTTCGGTGTTAATATATCTCTACGATAATTTTGTGAGAAGTAAAGTGTGCAAAGATATTACCGCGAAGTGGCTGTGGTAAATATTTTATTGAAAGTTATTTATATACAATATTTAAGTACGTATGACTAAAAATTTGTGTGACTAAAAATTTGCTCTACACTACTAATTGCATAATTAACTCTAGATTAATTTTTATAAAGATCACATGAGCAGAAAAGAATATTTCATAAAATAAGCCAATGACTTATGCTTAAAGTGTTTATGTTGCTCCTATAATGGCATTGAAAAACTTTAATTAAAAGGTAGACCCATTAAGTGATATTTTAAATTGAGTTGAATGTCATTTTTGGAATGCTAAGCTAAGAACTGACTAGGGTTCAGTCTTTAAAATCATGCAGTTTTAGATCTAGGGACTACTTGTATGTTAGATATGAAGTTGTGGTAAAAGAAATGAAACGTCGTTACTATATTACTAATTATTACTTTAAAAATTTTACTTTTCCATTCTTACGCTTTGTTTTAATTAAGTTAATTAACAAATTGACTACAACTATGAATCAATTAAGTAATTTAAATATTTATTCGTTTTATTTATATATTGTGATACTATTTAATATATTGTGACATTATTTAAGCAATTGTTTTATTCCGCTATCTTTATTGGTGCTTGATTTATGTATTATAATTGAAAGAATCGATGGAGTTAGTATTGCGTTACAGCAGAGAATAGCAAGATACTGTAAAGAACAAAATTGGTAAAATTTCGTGTAGTTGCTGAAATATGAGATTTCTTGGCGAGTTCACTTTTGGTTTCATTATACGACTAATTGAGTGCTCATTAAAAGACTTAATTAAGTCAATTACAAAATTGCTACAACAATAAAAATTAATTGATTTAAATATGTATTTCTATGTTTTTATACGTCTTAGTTGAGTCCATTAGTAAATTGCTCAACCAATGACTCATTAATTGATTTGAATTTAGTTTAATTACTAATTTAGTCAATTATCATATAAATAAGGTTAAAATTATCAAAACTGATCGTCAAACCTTGGGTGTGTAAAATTATTATTTAGTGTTTATTATGTTTAAGAGCGTAAAACCGAAATAATTGTTATTTTTCTGTTGATTTAGTTTGCTATGTTTTAAACGAACTTACATACAGGGTAGCACATAAATTGACTTTCTCATTCATATATACTTTTCAAATAGAGCTAGAAAACTGTTACTCTAGCAACTTTTGTAATGAAGTAGTTTCTATGAGTGATATAATTATTCAGTTTTTCAAATACAAGGTGTGTCCTAAAAATAACCAAACTTTTAGATAAAAATAAGAAATTTTTATACAAACATTTTTCACTTTTATGGTTTTCATTAATTCATGAGGAACTAAACGCTCACAGATCTTTCTTTTACCCAAACTTTGAGTTGAATTTCTCCAAAAGGTGTTTTACTCGCATTTAATACTTCAACCAACATTCTGTAGAAAAATCTCACGGACTTTCTCATCAAATCAGCACTATTACTAGCTTCTGGACGACACAACTGTTGGTCATTTAAATCCTAACGGCTATTAAATCGTGTGAACCACGTGTAAACTTAGTACGACGCATACAATCACCACCGTACAATTTTTTATTCAATTCGTGCGTCTCAATGTTTTTTTCCGATATAAGGAACACAAAATTGGTTTTTTGTTTTCCTAAAAATTTAAATATGATGAATGTACACTTTTCAATTCTACAAATCGTTGAATGATTTATATATAAAGTTCGGTTACACACTTTGTAAAATAAGTATCCCACAAACAAATTTTTGAATTGAAAATATAAACCACTTAAGAGCCACCCTGTATATAAATAAAATTTTTTAAACACAATTTTAACACCAGCGAGTGAAAAAGTTATCTCCAAGCACATAAATATGTTTATTCGCTTTCGCTCTCACTATATCGTTATCAAAACTGCTAAAAAAAAAACAAAAACACAAAAAGCAAAACGAAAAGACTTAAATAAGTATATATATATATTACATATGTATAGCTAGTTTTGTTAAAACTAGAACTTGTTTTTATACCAGTTATCTTCTAAAGACTTATCTATTGATTTTACTTCCACTTGCGGAAAAAAACACAAGACCTTCAGAAGATTCACGGTCAATGTTATGAATTAATTCAATAGCAAAGCTATCGTAGTGGCAATGCACCAGTTGCAATATTTTTTTGTTTTCGAAATACAGACAAACATAGTCATAGCTTAATGGGATTACGCGTCGATTCATTAACAATACACGATTGCATACTAATTTTTTCAATAGAGAGCAACCGTTTAGGAAAGCACTCGGCGTTACAGATTTATAATTTTTATTGTTTACTTTGCAATTTGCAATTTAATAGCAATTCGTCTCATATATGGCAAGCATTTGCTAAATGAAATGCAAAGTTCAGACGCCTTTCTTTGTTTTGAAAAGCTGACAATGAGAAATGAATGCAACCTATAAATCACCATAAGATAGGATTTCGAATAATTTGAGCAAATATGTTTACTATAGAT